CATTTTTTTGCATGCACCTCTCCGATTTTCCCAGCACCGTTTATTGAAGAGACCGTCCTTACTCCATTGTATGTTCTTGCCTCCTTTGTCAAATATTAATTGACCATAATGATGTGGGTCAATTTCTGGGACCTAACGGTCATTTTGACACAAACACAGAACCCTTTCCTCTTATATCAATTAATCACAAAGTCTCCATCTGTCTTCCTCTCTTCAGGCTACTGTGACAATGCCATAGACTTAGGGGAAAGGTAGAGCATAGAGGATTTTTATGCCAGTGAAACTATGGCCTGATACTAAAACGGTGGATACAGTCAGCAGTTCCTCATCTCCTCCAGCGCCAGTGACTCGCCTCCCTGGGTGGGAAACCGTCATCCTGGGCCCCCACTGCAGGAGCCAGGCCTCTGAGGGCCCTGGCAACTCTGCTTTTCCCAGTGGCGGCTGCTTCTTCCATAGGACAATATGTTCAAGAGAATGGCCGAACTTGGGCCTGACTCCAGCTGGAGAGTGCAGGGGGTTACTGTCATTAAACCAATAGTTTATGGCAATGTTGCTCAATATTTTGGAAAGAAAAGATCAGTGGACAGTACATGTAAAACCATATAGAAATGAGGATATGTCAGCATATGTGAAGAAAATTCAGTTTAAATTACGTGAAAGCTATGGCAGTCCTGTCAGAGTTGCCGCTGAGCCTCCATATGAAACAGGATGGAGTGCATTCGAAATCATCATCAAAATACTTTTCACCGTTCTTAATGAAAGACCTGTCATTAAAGCTGTTTCTGTCACACAGCAATGCAATGCTCAGAAAAAAGACAGTGGTTTCAGAGTTCTATGATGAAATGGTATTTCAAGACCCAATAGCAATGATGCAACCGTTATTAACAACATCTTGTCGGCTAACGTTAGGAGCCTATAAGCATGAAGCAATATTTGCAGAACTTGAAGTGAAAACCAGACAAAAATTAGAAGCTGGAAAAAAAAGCTTTGAAACGGCAGAGCTTAAGGAGAGGTTTTAAGCAAGTTGTGAACTATAAATTGCTTAAAAAATGAAATCAGGAAAGTTGAAGATGATCAGAAAAAAAGAGATATAAACTGTTCTGAAGAGGACTTGATAGTAGGCTAATCTGAAAATAAGGTGGACTTTAAAGGAGAGATGGGCTGCAAATGCTCTGGTGTTTCTTAGAGGGGCTGCGGATACAGACTTCTAAGCAATGAGGTCAAAGTATTTGTACTTTT